ACCAGAAAGGTTGCTTGTCCCTCGGCCAGGTCTTAATTCTATTCACTAAATCGATGTCACCATGTGCATCCACTGGTAGATCGAGTGGAATTATAGTGGTTGTACTTAGAGCTGGTGTAGATGCACCAGTCGCAGCTGTGTCACTCCCGATTCGATTTCCGAGCAAATTTGTTCCAAGAACACCAGCCTGAGTTCCTTGACCTGCTTGACTCGCTGTACCCGCTGGATTCACTGGAATCGCTTGATTTGCGGGACTTACTTGATTCACTGGGCTCGTCTGGACCGTTTGTTGTTCCGCTGCTATTCGCTCATCAAGATACTGAGGCAGAACCTGAGGTAAACGATTGCTACTACTACCAGCATGCCACGGTCGTTGTGATTGTACCGAGCAAAATACGATGCTAAGAAGTACGACGTGTTTCAGCTACAACAAAGAACAATTTAAGAGAATAAAGGAAAAGAATCATGAATATTTCAAAATTATCATTTAAAAAATATAATATTAAATGTAAAATTTACACAAAAAATTATAAAATCAATATAAATTAGTGAATCTAAAAATATTACAGTAGAATTAATGTTATCACATAATTATGATGATAACTGTTAATAATCTTAATTAATATATAAAATTTATATTAATAAAGGAAAAAAATTAATTCTTTCTTAATGAATATCTGAATTAAAATATCTGAAATTGTTGAAATTTTTCTTTAAATAGAAATATCTATATTTATATTTAATATAATATAATGTAATATAGATCAGTCAAATATTATAATAAATATTGGATTGAAATATATAAATGTATGTATGTATAATGAAACAATCAATTTTTAAAAATTAGTTTTAGAAATGTCAAATCAACATTTTTAATTTTTAAAATAAATCTCTATTAAAAATATCTGTTTATAAAAATTTTTACTAAAATATTATCTAAATTTGTTAAAATTATTCAATTAATAGGCTATTTTTCTGAAAACGATCATGCTCCGATTTGAGTCAAATTTTGTAAATAGGTTTCTTTTAGGTACAAAAGAAGTATACGCAAAGGATTTTTGACGACTCGAAAATTAAGGCACTTTTTAAGCTCTTGATAATCATTATAGAATATAAGATATTAAAAAAGTCTATTTACCATGATTGTCGAATGTATTGAAGAATCTAATAAACTTGATAAATACAGGACAGCTTCACCAGTGATATATCTAACTTGAAATCAGAAACTTTAACGATCATACGGTTTCATCACTCGAACTTGAAATGCTGGCGTGGCAAGCATTTCTTCTGCTATATAAATCCCTCAGTCACACGTGATCCCCACTACGAAGTCGACGAGTCATGCGACTGTTGGGAAACTCGGCTGTAACTTCCCGTCGAATTCGCGATATAAAAATCCTTCCGAAGTAATAAATCTCGATATCAAATAAGAAAGCATTTTTCGAAAGTGCGTCTGGGGTAAACCAAATTTTGTTAGAAAAAACTTGCCAATTTAGAAACAATTTGAATTTTTTAAATTAGAAACAATTTGAATTTTTTTAATTAGAAACAATTTGTCAATGATTTATATCATAAATCGCTTTTGTAAACTTATTCTATTTATACATATAAATTCGAAAATAAGAGAATTTTGCCAAATTTAATTTGATATGAACCTAATTTTTATTATATGATATGCTAAAGAATTTTTATTATATAGCATATTATATAACAAAAATTAGTTTCATATCAAATTAAATTTGGCAACATTTTCTTATATATTATATTATATATATATATATATATATATATATATATATATATATATGTAAATAACATATATAAATATAAATATATAAAAATATATAAATATAATCTAATGTAATCTGATATTTTTAAATAACTACTAAATTATCTCTATATATTATTTATAAATAATTTAAAATTTTTTATGTTAAATATTATTTATATGAAATTAATTATATAAAAAAAAATCATTTCTTATATTAATAATAATAATATTAACAATACATTTTACGTATTATTAATTGCTATTATCGCAGCAACTAAAAGAAAATATTATATAAAGATTTACACAATCTTAAATGTAAAAAGTAATGACAATTTATGAAATATTATTAAAGAAATAGTAAACACTCATACTCAAGAGAACATACATGTTTGCAATTAAAAAATTAGATTTTTATTTTAGTTTACACATTTTATTATTATACATTATATCTTATTTCACTAATTTTCAAATAGTAAGTTATTGTTGATAAATATTAATAACAGATTATATTGTCAAGTTATCATAAATGTTTTAGCTTTCCTTTTGCTGTTATATTGTAAGATTTTTAAAGATTTATAAAGAGGTATAAAATATTAAAATGTATGTTAAAAAATAGCATCGATATGTTTTGCAATTATAAGTTTTTTTATAAAAAAAGTTTAATTTATCTTTGCATAGGATATGTCATTTTTCTACTAATTGTTAATTTAATAATAATCAGTATGAACAATAATGCCATTTCTCAGACATATACTCGAAACATTGACATTATGATTTTCGAAAATCTACATACACACACACACGCGCGCGCGCGCATGTGTGTGTGAATTTCTAAATATATGTATTACATATACATTATATACAACGAGCATTATATTAAAAATTACATAATTATACGTATAATGGACAAATGTGAAGCTGCAAAATTAGCAAGGAATTTCATGCTTTTTCAGTTTCGCCAATATATTACGTCTGCACTTATATTTATCGCAGCGTTTCATTGTGGTTTTAAAAAGAAATTATATAATTGAGGCTTTTAATTAAAGCGATAAATATCTCTTCGATTGAATTAATCTACGTTTGTTGTTGTGAATCCACTGATAATCATCCTCCGAAAGAAAAAGAAATACAAATTTTTGTACATTATAAGCTTTAGGAAATAATGATACTCATAAAAATCTGCAACTTAGAAACGATCGTTTGATGAGAAATATCAATTAAAAAGTGTTATCTAAAATGATGCCGTAACCTGATGGAGACCTTTAGAAATTATCGGTTTTTTCCAAATATAACTGTTTTCAATATTATGCGCTTCTCATTGATTCGTGCCTCGTTAATATTTAAAAAATAAGAGAGTAAATTTTTAAAAATCAATGATGTGCTCCGCAATTTATATAATAACATATTTATATAATAACATCTTCTTTTTTATTAATTTAATGAAATTTATATAAAATGATAATTTATATAAAATGATAATTTATATAAAATGATATTGATAACAAAAATATAGATAACAAATAATTATAATATGTAGCCAATAAATTTCTTACATCTACATTAGAAAATTCTTTTCTTTATCAAGGAAAACGATATAAATTTAAGAATTATATTTTTGAATAGCGATTAATAAATAACGATATAATTTTAAGAATTATGTCCTTTTTAGTTGATTTTTTTACATATAAATATAAATATAAATAAATAAATATAAATTTAAGAATTATGTTTTTGAATAGCGATTAATGAATAGCGATATAATTTTAAGAATTATGTCTTTTTCAGTTGATTTTTTTACATATAAATTATTTTATTTGCAGTCAGGTTATCCAATAAATAATATTCTTATTGATTCTATGATTTTCACTATTTTTCCCAAACTTTTTCAATTGCAAAACATTTATTTACATAACAGCTGTCGCAATTAGATTTATTTATAATTTCTATCAAACATTCGGATAAAATAATTATAATTACGACGTAACAAAATATAGACACTTGATGATGTAAATAAGAAACTAATACAAATAAAGATTAATACATTTTCCAGAGATTTTCCCAGAACTCGTTTTTCCTGTGGTATTCTATATCTTCATCTTTGCATGATATTTTCTCATTATATAAGCAACATTTTTTGTCGAGTTTAAAAAACAGAATTTGTTTTTCTCATCTTGTGATAATACGCTTCTATTTTCTTTATTTTAAAAGAATGTCACCGTTTATACTAAATATTGTAACAATTAAGTATTAATAAATATTGTAGCCAATGTATATACAAAATCAGTTTGGCCGGAATTCTAATTCTGCCGTTGACACACTACAAATCTAAATAAAATTAATAAGCTCATATCTCCATAATAATCTTAAATTCGAAAAGTTCAATTTTGATAAAGCATCATAAGAAATATATTATTAGATTACAACATTTTAAATAAGCTTTCTTATTTTTTTATGTATTAAAAATTTCATTTAATTATATGTGTGTGTGTGTGTGTGTGTGAGAGAGAGAAAGAGAATATATATATATATATATATATATATATATATATATATATAATAGAAATATATAATATAATAGAAACATAATACATATTATAAATATATAAATATGAAAGGTCTAAAGAAAGAGAGAGAGAATGTGCCAAATTATCTTGTATCAATTTGATAGAGCATTTTTAAGAGTTTACTTTTCTAAGTGAGTCCTGATAATAATGTTATTATTCTGGAAACTTAAAATAATCACAGCAAAAATTTATTTGGTACATAATTCTTTACATAATTCTATTAATAATTTAATGTGTTTCGATATTTTACTAAAAGATCGAAAATAATTCCTTTGAAGTGATTCTTTTGATGTGATTGAAATGTATTTTTTTCTTTATACACACTTTTTTCTCTATGCACACTTTTTTATCGCTTTTACACACACACACACACACACACACACACACACACACACATGCATACACACATATTAGGTTCCCCTTTTGATAGAAAATCTAAAATAACTTTATTAGAACAACATTGCAGTGATCTTGAAAAGAAGAAAACTGGACTTTATGTCTGTGGATAACATGTTCTTCATATTCGATTATGATATAAAATTTATATTGTCATTAAATATATTTTAATTAATAAAAAGGAAACGTATCTTTACTATATTTTGAATTATTTTAAATATCGGTAAAATATCTTTTGAAGTGATTGGAAGACAAGTCTACGTGTTCTTTTCTTATATGATCTTTATGCTTGCATATCCACAATCGCTCGAGTGTTTTTACAATTTTCTATTCTCGTAAAATGCAGTTGGAGTGAAATATCTTCTTCTTTTCTTGATTATGTCAAGACTGACTATGCTAAATAGGTAGAGATTAAAGACTGTTAATATTATACGGGTTTATAGAAACGCTGTCAAATTGGGTTTTTCCCAACCCGTTTAGAATCATCAGGCGTGATAAATTCCAGCGGATAAGCAATCGTAATTCCCACTAACATGATAAAACGGAATCTCACTTTTAATGAAGTTTTATTGTCATCGTTATTAAAATTGTATGAATGACAAAATTATTTGATTATGACGAGATTAATTTGAACTTTCAGATCATTTCTTGTGAAAAACGTAAGTTGCCAGAAAAAATATTTTAAGATAAAATTTACTATGATCTCCAGTGAGAGAATGTAGTAGTTTTAAAACTGCATAATTTTATTTTTATTTTTTACTTTAATTATATGAAATTCATTTTGATTCGCGTTTTCTCAGTAATCAAATCAAGATATATTTATTATTCTGAGATTTATAGAAAGATCAAAACCTAAGAGATTAATAAAAATATCAAAACCTAAGAGACTCATGATAAAATTATTACATGAAAACATAATAGATATTCTTCCAAAAGAATATATTTATACGATGACGAATATATTTATATTGATGAGTAAGAAAAAATACACTTCGCATTTTTTCTAAAATAATATTACAAAAAAGAAGAATAATACTGCAAAGTACTCTTTTTATAGAGAGAGCATCGTTTCCAATTCATTATTAAATAAAGCACATAAGCAAATACATTATTCTTTTTGAACAACTTTTTTACAAAATAAATGGGTATACATAATTTTTTTAGTATGATTAAATAAATATTTCTGAATATTTAGAGGATAAAAATTAAATCCATCATATCAATCAAAAGTTATTATTGAAATTATTAAAAAGATTAAATATTGTATATATAGTTTAATTTTAATTAATTATGAATTATAAATGCAGTTTACTCGTAATAATAAATCATTGAATTAATTATATTATAGATTTGCATAAAATTGTTGTGTTAGGAATGTGTTATGAATGATGCTAAAAGAATGTAAATATTTTTTTTCTCCTCGTAATTATGTAATAGCTTCGGTTATGAATAATATTTGAATGAGAAATTCATTCTCATATCTATGTTATCTATAGATTTTTTATGTTATTGTACCATTGTACAAAAGAGAATGAGATTGTACATTCTCGATATACTTGTCATTGTTTCTTTATAATAAGCAATCGGCGTATGAAGTTTCGAATAGTCTACGTCATCGGAATAATAACTATGCGTCACCGTCAGACACTGAATTGCCTGCTTGCTCCAAAACGAAAAACGTTGATCTTTGATATGTAGATCAATGTAAATAAATAATGACGTAAATTGTGCGCTATATAATGATCGGAAATTTTGCTTTTAAAATGAGCGTAAAATGTCAACTGTGTACAAATAATATTATACAAACATTAATCATTATTTATATAACTTATTGTTTTTTATTATTTATAATTTATTTTTTAATTATGCAATTAAATTATATATATATATATATATATATATCTATAATTTTAATTATATATATAATTTAAGTTATTAATATAATAAAAAATTAATTAATTATACATTAAAATAAATTTCAGATGTTGAATCGTTTTATGGTCAATTAAAAAAATTAGAATAAATATTATTTTACATTATTGTAATATTAAAATAAAGTAAAATTTAAAAAAATAGTTTATAAAAGTATAAGCGCTTACAAAATACATTTTTCTCTCATCACTGAATAAAACTCACGACGCAGAATCATCGATAAAGAAACCAGTTTAAATACCTTTAGCTAAATATGATAATTTATCGTATCGTTTAGCAATTCATATTTGTTTATTTTAATAAGTCAGAATTCATCGCGAGTATATGTAATACTGTATGACAAGTGTTGAATATAATGAATTAAGTTGAAATGTATTATTTAATTAGAGAAATTCTCCAAAAGACTGTTTTGATAAATAATTTTTTAAATATCCTTTTTCGTAAGGAATTTTTAAACATCCGTTCCTTAATATCACACAACATTTACAATTATTGTAAAATGATATAATAGGATAAATACTTCTAAATTGAAAACTGTAGAAATAAATAAAAAGTCGCAAATAAAGATAATGATTCGATTTCTTCGAATGCTGATATGTATATGTGTGCGTGTAATGTGATAAAACTAATCGCGATAATATTACATAAAAGCCATTTAAAAATTACTTGTCAATTTCAATTTTAATTTTGTTAAATCTTAAATTACACATTTATTTTTAAATGATAGACAAGGAATAGTACGGAGAAAACTATATGGCTACCAAATGCATAATTATGATTAGATGTAACCATAAAAATTTGTAATATTTGGTACAGCTATATGTGTGATTGTCACATCCACATTTCATTTAGTCATGCATAGTTGAGATTACTATACTGTATGATTGGAGCATAGAGAATTGATGCCGTTTGCATTTCATGTAGCTTTCAGAACCATATAATAGAACATTGCTTCTATGAAAATAACTAGCATACGAGTGTGGAATAGTTGGAATATACATATGCAGCTATCTAGGAACCGCTTGAAAAAGTTATAAGAAATATGAGATATGAGTGCCTCAACCATACTTATATATTTTAAATAATAAAAAAATATTTGAAAAATGTTTGAAAATCATTTTCAAGGATATTTTAAAAATGTTAAAATAATTGGCTAAGTCCTTTTTTTATTCATTAAAAAACATTTACTTTATTCATGTATTGTAAAATGCCCGCACAGCACGAAAAATTATTTGCCGACTAATAGTCGACATTTTTTAGTCAACTTGAAATCGTTTTTTTAAGTCGATGTTTAGTTAACTATTTCTACGGTTTATTGTCGGCTTTAATTATCGACTATGAATCGACATAAAGTCGACCATTTTCAGAATATTAAAAGTCGCCTTTCGACAAAGCGCAAGTCGATTAAATTAGGCATTTTCAAAGAATTGGTTGATTTAATTTCAGTATTCTTTAATTGTATTATATGTAACAATATTATATAATTAATATATAATAAAACCTGTACGGAAAAATTTATTTAATAGATATCTAATAAATATCTAAATGTCTATATGAGGTCCATCCTCTATATAACTAGATGATAACTAGTAGATGTATATATATCATCCACATATCTACATTCACACATAAAGAATACGGATCCCTAAATTTTAGCACTATTTTTTAACATCTTTCAATAACAATAAATAAGCAAAAAATCATCGAATAAAGATGAAACAAAACTCAAATTAAAGCTTGAACATTTCTTTCAAAAAGCAAAAACACAAATTTGAGTTACAAAAAATACTTTAAAATGACATTTAAAAGGACATTGAAGATAGACTTTGTGAAGTGAGAAACAAATTTTTTTTTTAACTAGTACAAAAATTTTACAAAAATTTTTGTTTCCTGGTGCAAAAATGTATGAACTTTTAAAAAAGCTTATTTATTTCCTAATAAATTTATATTTTAATCAATTTTCTACGATCTCTTTTGATAAAGTTATATTGTTTTGAGGAAAAATTTAAATCTGACCGTCTATCTCTGTGTGGAGCATTTTGGATTGAATTACACTTTAATTTCTTTTTTGAAAAAGTTTCCCATGATAATTTGTTTTTGTATTGCAGATTTTACAAGGAAAGTTTCATTTTATAACATTTTCTTCAAAACGCTATAACTTTATTAAAAAAGATTGTAGAAAATTTATTAAAATATGGATTTGTTAAGAAATAAATAAGCTTAAAAACATTTTTGTACCAAGGAGCCGATTCCTGAGCAATGCAGCAGTTTAAAAAAATTTGTTTTCTATTCCTCAAAGTTTATATTCAGCATTCGTCATTTTGTAAAACATTTTTTGTAACTCAAAGGAGGGGTGTCAATAAGGCCGTTTTTTGATCCACGTCAGTATCACTCCAAACTGTGGCATTTTCTTCCTGCCGATGTATCTCACAACCTCCTAGAACTGTTTGCTGTCCGAGCAATTAGAGGCTGAGAACGGGCAACTTGAAATCTCAAAAATCAATGAGGTTTTTCATATAGTAGTGCCGATCTCATTTCAGCATGTTATTGTTGAGCTTCCATCATTATATTTTTTTATATTTTCTCAAAAATTATTAGAGTATGTGCTACTTTAAATTTGAAAAGGAGCTCATCAATTCTAATTGAAGATTCCTTCGGCGCCTACTCCCAATTCCTCAATCACTGACTGTTCACTTTCTCATTGTAAATTCGGAGAATATTGTAACGGCATTATCCGTGAAGCTGGAGTAAAGGTTAGATTCTATGCACTAATACGATTTGAAAATGATAAAATAGTAAAAAAAATAAATAAAAATAAAATAAAATAATAAATACAAATAAAATAAAAAAATAAATAATAAATATAAATAAAAATAAATATAAATCAATAATAATAAATATAAACATAAATAAATACTAATAATAGTAAATATAAATAAATAATAAATATAAATAAAATAAAATAATAAAATATATTGAGATAAAATAATATATTAATATTAAAACTATTCAATATATAAGTAATTTTAATAAGCAAATAATTCATTAAATAAAAAAAAATGGTTTATTGCTGCGTTTGCGGATATTCTAAATGTATTGATCATAATAATCTTCCTGTGTCTTATCATTTGTAAGTAATATAAAATACCCAGCAAACATCAAGTAACAGTTATATGTATAAGTATTAGTTGCAATTTCCCACTCAATATTATAACTGTTATATAACATATAAGTTATATTAAAGCATCGTCTACAATGGCAGTAAGATTAATGGATTAAAGCTGTAACTTAAGAAATTGACCAATCACAGTTGAGTATTCTCTTAATGCTTGACTGTAATTGGTCAATTCCTTAAGTTACAACTTTAATCCATTAATCCTACTGCCATTGTAGACAACGTGTTAAGGTCATTCTACAATGGAGGTTTTAGCGCAGTAGCAGTAGGTCGTAGAGGACTTAGCAGTAGTTGTAGCGAAATAAACCAAATCCATTTCCTACGGCGTACGACGTACGTTTTACGACGAACGGGCATGCGCAGTCACAAAAGAATGCTGCGTCCGTGAAGTGTGTGGAGTTTGTGCATATTGTCATTAATGTTAATTATAATTATTTGCGATGTCGAACGAAGAAGGTGAAGCAACTTGTGTTGAATATTATTTTGTTGATGAAAATCCGTCGGACGTTGAGCTGTTGGATCAGCGTGAGTTAATTCAATTAGTAAAAAATAACCCGCCTCTGTTCGCCAAAACTGTAAAAGAATATTGTGGAAAAGGATACAACAAAGATTTAGCGTGGCAGAGAGTGGGATCTAGTCTCTCAAAGCCCCTGTCAGGTAAGCTAGGATAAATTATTTTATTATATCTTAACATATTTTAATATACTTTTCTGACATAATGAGGTTAGGTTAGGTTGCCCTGCCAGTCAGTTGATATTTATTGAATTCCAGGACCAGATGCTTCCAAGTTATTTTATAATATTCGCCAACGTTTTGGCAGAGAGAGGCGAAAAGTATTATCTTCGTTAAAAGGAAAATCAGGCCAAGGAGCGGTGGCACCATATGTACCTTCATGGCCTTTGTATGAAGATTGCATGTTCTTAGCAGATCATATTGTTGGACGCAAGTATGTACTTTTTTCATGTGTATAGTACAGATATCTTTTGACAAAACTGGATAATATCATGTTTTGATACGTATTTCAGAACGTCAAGCAGCTATAAAGCAGCTATAATTAATTTGAATAAACTTTGTTTGCAAAAGGTTTCCTAAAAACGTATCACAACGAGAAGTTTGAATACAATTTGTGAATAAATTAAATTGGAAACCTTCAAAATCCTGTTGAATTTGTTCTCAACATTTTAATAAAGATTGTTTTTTTAAATCTGCAAAAGAAGCTATATTGAAATCAACAGAGCGATCCCATCTATACGAGTACATATTGAGAGATTAAAATATGTAAGTTTTTACGATATATTTGTACATATTTTTACATATTTTTTGTATGTATTTCTATCATGTATTATGTAAGTTTTTATGTAAGTACTATTAAATTTTAATTTTTGCAAAGATAAGAGACTTTAATCCCGTTACCTTCAATTCTGTTATACCTAAAATCTACAGAAGTACGTGACTCAAGAACAGAAGTATATTATTCTAATTAAAGATTTAAAATTTATTTAATTTTTATTTTTTAAAATATTTTTATTTTAATATATTTATTTTTTAATATTATTATTAATTTTTAATTTTTAGGTTACTGAAATTTCAAGTATAAATTTTAAAATGGTTTCAACGGAATCAGAGGGCCAGCAAGAAATAGAAAAATTTACGACCACTACAATCAACATCTTCAACAGTTCTTTCTTTGACAGTTTATCAATATATGATACATCAAGAAAAATAAATTTAAAAAGGCAACTTTTGAAAGAACGTAATATAAGAATGCTTCAATCAAAACGCATAAAAATTTTGATGCAACAAAATAGACGACAGAAGAAAAGAAAAGAACTTTGTTAAAAGATATAAAAAATCAGGAAATGATTAACAATAAAATGGAACAGGAATATAAAGCTAGTCTAGAAGATAAAATTATAAACTTTATAAATAAAAATATTTTTATTAGATTATGGAATCATTCTGAGGAAAAGTTAGAAACACATGCGAGTAATTTAATACAAAATATTGTTAAAAAATATTTTAATATTATTTAAGATTATTTTATGTGTAAGAATATGAAGAAAAAATCAGAAAATATTTGTAATTTCTATACTAAATTAATAATTCATAAAGGACAATAAAGAAATATTTTACTTCCATATTTCTTTTATTTATGTATTATTATTTATTTTTTCAGATTCAAGATCATTCTAGGAAAACTGTAAACCAACATTCTGTTCAATAAGTCACAAATTTATTATTTTATAAACAATTTTTGTATATATGTTTTTGACTAATACTTTATAATTTGTAAATAATAAAATGATAAAATAATTAAACAAGATTTAAGAACAAATAAATAGTTAACGTAAAAATATATGTATAAACATTACTTTTTGAAATTGTTTATTAAAATATCTAATATTTATTATTTTGTTACTGAATTGTAGATACGACTGAAAAAGTTATTAATTGAGCATTTGAATTTAGCGCCACTGCGTGATGTCATTTGTGACGTCTATTAGTGCGTTCGAAAATATGTTTAGTTGGTGTTGGGAAAATAGATAAAGTTGGTAGTATTGAAAACTCCCAGGTGACATGATTTACCTAAAATGTGATTTAAATTCAATATTTGTATATCTGGTAACAACATTTTCCAAATAATCTGTTATTTTTGGTACTATTTTCTTTTCACCTCTATTGTTATTACCTCTATTTTCGAATAAAATATTTTGTAATTCTTCATTATTATCATCACTATCCGAAGAAGAACTACTCGAAGATTCAAAAATGATGTTTTCGAGTAAAAAATATTGTTCCATAATAATAATTAATGTAATTGCAACACTTTCATATATTGTACATACGGTACAATACAATCCTAATGATCCCAGTGGGAAAACGCAGCATTGGAAGTTTTCAATACTGCCAACTTTATCTTTTTTCCCAACACCGACCAAACATATTTTCGAACGCACTGATAGATTGTTCGATTCTGGGGCCCTATTCTTGAAATCGTGCGAAAAATTATCGTATGAGAAAGTGACGCTACGCGATCTTTGATTGGTGTATATTTTTAGATCTAAGAATATACACCAATCAAAGATTGCGCAGCGTCACTTTCGCATACGATAATTTTTCGCACGATTTCAAGAATAGAGCCCCTAGCTTCACTTTTTCGGACAAATGCTCCTTCCTTTACTATGGGTACGTTCCAAAACGTACTCTCCGAGGGAAATTTTACTTAATAGCCGTTCCGAAACTCTTTTAAGCGTTTCTGATTAGTTAGAATCAGCCATCGAGTAAAATTTTCCTCGGTTACTTGCGTTTTGGAATGTAACCTATGTAAGGATCTTCTAAGGAACTTACCAATGCGTGATTTTCTATGCAGTCTACATGCTTCATGCGTAATTGGGAACGCACCCTGAGATAATCGGAGTTTGGTCGAAGCGGCCCTCAGGGTTTCTCTTTGATATGATCTAGTCGAATCTGTTGGAAGGTTGTACAGTGTGTGGATTTTTTGAAGTTATATTTATATAGAAAAATAAAATAATATTTTATAATCAAATAATTAAATTATAAAACAAGATGTCTGAAGACGAAGTAGAAAGCTTTGAAATTACCGATTATGATTTAGATAACGAATTTAACATAAATCGTCCTCGACGCAAGCTTTCGAAGAAGCAACAAATGCTAGGTATAATATATCGAAAAAATATTAAAATTATATTGTTAAAAGGGGGAGAAAATAAATCGAGAATTAAAGTTTAATAACAGTATATATATGTATATATATATATATATATATATATATATGTATGTATGTATATAAAATATATAAATAATTTCATATATATATATATATATATATATATATATATATATATATATATACATAGAAAATTTGAAGTAATAATCTTTTCCGAACATAGGAATATGGGCAGATGACAGCGATGAAGATGAATTATCTGCTAGACCATCTTTCAAAACTTTTAATAAAGGTCCTAAAAATTATACAGCACCAGTTAGTTTTGTTGCTGGTGGTATCCAACAAGCAGGGAAACCAAAAGATAAAACAGATAATGATGACAAGGAAGATGAAGAGACACAGGAATTTCAAACAAAGCATCATACTGATTCTAGGTGAGATTAAATACTTAAGCTTTTCTAGTGTGTGAATATTTTTCTTATATTTTTCTTTATTAAGATAAATTTATATTTTATTTCTTATTTAGCTCAGAAGATGAAAGACCAAATAATTCGAAATCATGTTCACCTTTTTCTTTGAATTTAGACAGTGATATTGCAGGTTTGCGTAGAAAACGCAATCAAGTAAATCCATTAATAATGAAAGGTGGGATGGGTAGTTGGGAAGTACATACAAAGGGTATTGGTGCTAAATTATTATTACAGGTATTTTTTAATTAATGATCTAATAATGATTGGAATTAATCAAATTAAATTAATCATTGATTAAAGGTCAAATGATTTAATACAAATTTCTACAATACATAAGATAGTAATAAAAAATATATTTTTTTTTATTTAGATGGGGTTTGAACCTGGCAAAGGTTTGGGTAAACAATTACAAGGAATAAGCACCCCAGTGGAAGCACATCTTAGAAAGGGAAGAGGTGCTATTGGTGCATATGGTCCAGAAAAGGTGCCAAAAATTCCAGAAAAAAAGAAAGATGACGACGAAGAAGAAACAAAAGAATCCAAATCCAAATCTCAATGGCGAAAGGGCGATAATAGTAATAAAAAAAAAGTTAGATACTGTTATAGAAGTGTTGATCAAGTTTTAGAAGATGGAAAGTTGAAACCCAATAGAAAGCTTCCAATGTCTAATGATATAAGCAGAGTTAAAGTTATTGATATGACAGGGCCAGAGCAAAGAATTCTTAGTGGATATCATGCAATAGCAGGTGGTCAGCAATGTCCTGATGAGACCATAACTATGTCTGATAAGAAATCTAAGATGAACTTTGCTCTACCTGAATTGCAGCATAATTTAAATTTACTCGTGGATATGTGTGAGCAAGATATTATACAAAATGATCGAAGAATGAGACATTTAAATGACAGAATGATTGCTTTAGAAGCAGAAAAGAAGAATTCATCGAAAATTGTGGATCAACATGGCCAATTAATTGATATCTTAGAGAATGTGCTTGTGATTGTGGATAGATTAATGAATGAAACAAATGAATTGTCTCTGCAAGAAATTGCGGAAGCTTTTAAAAATTTGCAAGACAATTATTATGAGGAGTACAAAATGTACGAACTTGGTGAATTGGCCAGTAGTTTTGTGGCACCAAAAATAAAAGATTGTTTGCTCAGCTGGAATCCACTCTTGCAATCAAAACAACCAATCAAATTATTTGAACAGTGGAAATGTATTTTAGAGAATGGAACTACTAATACTACACTCCAAACACAGACTATGCATCCATATGATCAATTAGTATGGAATGCATGGATGCCATCAATTAGAGGAGCCATACAGTGAGTTATTCTTATAACAAATTTTAATTATATGGTAATATTAACAAACTTGGAGGCATCTTTGTGAATACATATCATTAAATTTTTTTAACTTTCTCTTGAATTCTGTATTTAAATATACAAACAAAAATAATTCTTTTCATGTGCTCTTTTCTAATATTCTTTATAAACAAATTAGGCAATGGACGTGTAGGCAACCAGATCCTTTGATTGAGTTAATAGAACATTGGATGCCATTATTGCCCAACTGGATCTTAGAAAATATATTAGATTTATTAGTTTTGCCAAAATTGACATTGGAGGTGGAAGAATGGAATCCTCTTACAGACACTGTACCCATTCATACATGGATTCATCCTTGGTTGCCATTATTACGTAAGTATATACTGATTTACATTTGTATGTACAATTACACTAAATAATAATCCTAAATAAATAATAATCCCTAAATAATAATCCCTTATGTAAATTAGGAAATCGTTTGGATACTTTAATTTATCCAATAATACGTAGAAAATTAGGATCTGCATTAGGAGGTTGGCATCCATCAGATAGATCAGCTAGATTAATGCTGCAACCTTGGGCAGAAGTGTTTGCTAAAGGAGATATGGAAGCGTTTTTAGTTAAAAATATTATACCAAAATTGCAAATAGCATTATCCGAATTTGTCATAAATCCACATCAACAACATATAGATCCATGGAATTGGGTGTATGAGTGGAAAGAATTGATTCCTGTTCACATTATGGCAGGACTGCTTGACAAATTCTTTTTTCCAAAGTGGTTGCAAGTTTTGGCACTTTGGCTCAATCATTCGCCGAATTACGATCAAGTTACAAATTGGTATATGGGTTGGAAAAGTATGTTAAGTGATAAGTTATTGGCAGAACCAGTGATAAAAGGTATATCGACATTTATTTACAGAACTTATATTTCATATATCATTTTTTGGTTTTCGGATATTTATATAAATTCTGAAATCGAAAATAATTGCTTTATAATTTAATAATACATGTAACTAATCTATATTTTAGAATATTCATAAAATTAGAATAGTTTATAAGATATAGGTTTTATAAACGAGTATTGTTCCTTTTTCTTTATATCACATTCTTTTTTGTGTATGCTCATTATAATATCAGATAAATCCTTCTTGTTTTTCATAATTTTTGCTCATTGAAGTATATTATGACATATTCATTGAAGTATATTATGACATGTAAATATAATTTACAGAGCATTTCAAGAAAGCATTGGATATGATGAATAGGGCTGTCAGTGGATCACAAAATCAACCTGGTGCGATGGAACATGTTTCATATTTAACAAGCCTGGAAAGAACCCAACCGGCAATGTCGCAAATGACATCAATCGCGCAGCCAAGGATGGAGGTAAGTAGCATACATGTTAAATTACTTAGAGTTATTCTTAAATATTCTTAAATATTACGTATATTTCACTTTTCACAGAGACTCGCAGAGGCAATGCGAACGGCCTCACAAATTCCACATGGTTTCAAAGATCTTGTGCAAAAGAAATGTGAAGAGCGGGGTATATTATTTATGCCAATTCCGAACAGATATAAAGAAGGCAAGCAAGTATACAAAGTGGGCAATATTCAAGCGTATATCGATAATAATGTCGTGTTTATATGTCACAATGGTACAAATTGGATGCCGACACATTTAAATGCTTTGTTAGATATGTCCGAACTTTAGGATAATAGATTTTGTTCAAAGTGATAAAATGACAAATATCCAACATGTATAATTGTTATATTTATATTAAAAATATAATTATAAATATATTGGAAAAATTGATTTTTAAATTATTATTTTATATCGATCTATGATGTATATTTAAATCTAAATGCACTGCAATTAATATTATTTTTGTATGTACTGTCAAAGCTATAACAATATAGTAATTGTATAATAAAGATATATATAATATTTTAGCATGTATATAATTTTCATTGTTTTTTATATCATAGAATCAACTACCCCAATAGGAAAATATAAAATTATATGACAAAATCTAGCATGAAATTTGAGATTTGCAATTATATGGATATATTTAAAAAAATGTAAAATAGATGTAAAAATATTGACCTTTTATAAAATATTAATAATTGTTTGCAATTAATTTCTAAATAGTATTTCAGCAAAATAACAATATGGTGAATCATTTGTTAGTGCAATGAAGAAATTTTTTATCAAGTCATGGTGTCATTATTGTAAAATGTTTTCACAATTTTCCTATAAGGGTACTTTATATGAAATTGTAACACATAATTCAATAGTAGGATACAAGGCGGGTTCTAACTCAGGTCCTCTCAGGGGGGGCAAGGCGCGAGGGGAACTGCGGTGCGGGGGAAGTGACGTCACGCGCAGGGAAGGAGGAATTGCGGCGCGCGATGGGTGACGTCACGCGCGGGGAAAGGGGATCCGCGGAAAGAAGTGGTGTGAGAAGGACAGCGCTATATGTGGGAAAAGAATAGTGCTACGTGTGCGACAAGGATGGCGTTAACGTGAGACAAGGACGACGCAAAAGTAAGTGAGCAACGAGTATATGAAAAGAGGAGAGAGAACGATAATATTGTGAACAACGTGTACGAGAGAGAACAATAGCGCAAAACAACACGTGCGAGAGAGAACGATACCGCGAGACTTACAATTAGCGCGCGCGAAAGAGAGCGCAACGACGATAGCACGAAGACGACGCGTGGCCACATTTTCTCGCGCCGGTTCGTCATGGAGGGGCGAGGAGATGAGGAAAAGTGCTCCCCACTTCTTCGGCATTAAAAAGAGAAAGAAACTCATCTTACATCTTTTGTCTTTCTTTTCGTATGCTTAACGCTTATAGAATGGATGCTCGGTCTATACTTACTATGTCTATGCGAAATACAATCTGTGGCAGCTGTGTCACGTATGGAAAAACGATACGTACATAGATAGGGATGAGGAAGGAATGGGGAGAATAAGAAAGACGATAAAAGTATATCGTATCATCAATTTATTATAAGTATGGATTCGATGTATCATCATCATCATCATCATCATCATGATGTTTCAACCACCAATTATAAATCTTAAATACATTTTGTAGAGCGCAATTTTTTACATGATTTTCACGACGCATAGTATTCTTAACATCTAATTTATTTAAAGAAGCTACATCCTCATAATCTGCATCCAAAGTTTTCATAATGATATCGTTTCTCGTATCATTGTCCAGTATATCGGCCAGTCAATGCCGTTTTTCATGGCCTTTAACGTACACGAGAGATGACGTATCATCCTCCTCCGTTGTACCCATGACCGGCATCGTAATTAAACGTTTCGACTTCCAATATGAAACGGCCGTCCGTAGCTGGTCAAGTTGAGCAACGCGATTGGTCAAAATCTTACTGTTATGTCTTATGGAAAGTGTGTGCGACCACTTTAAAGTTAAACGACGTTGGTAGAAACGGCCATTAGAAATACGAATTATTTAAACTCGATTTAACAATAAAAGCGATACATGTAAATGTATTAATATTTCATCCCTAACAGCACACATGTCCAAAAGATGTCCAAAGGACATCCATAGAATATCCCGATCTCCTATGGATATCCTATGGATATCCTTTGGATATCTTTCGGACATGTGTGCTGTTAGGGATCGTATATTTAGAGGTTATGTATCTCAAATATAATAAATATTAATTTATTTTAAATAAGAAGTACTTTTCTCGAGTGTCATTTTATTAAAACATTATTACAACAAAGATTTTAGGTAGGTATAACTTATAGTAATAGAAAATGTATATTATTATATTATATATGATAATTGTGAATTGTGCTGTTATAAATTAATTAGTCTTTCTATAGCAGAAATTCGAGACATTCTATAGCAAATTCGACACATAATGCCCAGTCTACGAGTCATTAGTCATAAGTCGTAAGTAAATTGACTAATCACGATGTCGATTATTTTTTAAATAATAAACTGTGATTGATCAATTTACTTACGACTTACGACCAACAACTCATTGTAAACTGAGCTTGAGACATTTTAAAACAACAAAGACAAGATTGTTATGTCTTATGTTCTTGGATGTGTTATCTGGGAAGTCTGATTTTTTATTTATATATATATGTTTATTTTTATTTATTATCAAAAGTGAAATTAAAATTATAAGTTTCTATGTTAGAATTTAATTCTAATAACTTTCTGTTACGTTTTGTTATGTTCACGTTCAATTTCATTTCAATTTTTTTTTATAACAATTTATAACATATTGTATTTAAACAATATTAGTGATATATTGTGATATATATTATATATTATATGAAAATTTATAATATATATATGATGATAAATTTAATTTAAATATATGAAAATATAATATATGTAAAATATATGAAAATATAATTAAAAATATATATTATACTTTAATTTTCCAAGCTTATTTATTGAAACATTTTAAAGTTGAGTTTTTTATTTTTTTTAAATGTATTAACGCCGCCATTCGCCGTCGCCGCCGATAAATTATCATTCGCCAATTACGCCGCCGCCAAAAGGGAAAATTTTCGGCGAATCCGCCGTCGCCAAGTTATTTTGTCTCTAATGCCGCCGTCAATGTGGAATGTAACGGCGCAAAGGTCTATGTATAGGTATTCGTATCTCGTCACTGTATCCAAGCGTCGTATTGGCGTACGGATTGTACGTATGAGTCTCAATCTTGACGATGCGATCGTCAAAGACTGGCTCACCTTCGATATTCAAAATATCAATCATTCTTTTCATACGATGAATCCCAATCATTTCAAAAATTCAAAATTCAACGCGCTCAGCTTTTTAATGGCTATCTTATTATTGTCATCCGATACCACTCGCCTTACTGCAATAGTATTGTCTCGCGTAAAAGTATTGTCTCTCGCGTGCTCCGTTTCATTCAGCACGAGCATACTATGTTTGTCGCCGTCGTATATGCAATCTTACGGTAATTTCCTCTCCTCGAAAATCGAGCAATCGACCGCTTTGATCCACAATACGTATTGTTAAATCCATAATGCTCCGTACGACGATCGGCAGATAAATGATCTGTGCCGGCGTTTCCGATATCTTATATCCTGGCGGTACGCTTGGTGAAAATTCATGTATCGTGTGTGCGCATGCCGTTGCTGTAAGCACCAGTAGTCACGTTGCATTCTATACAAATAATATTTACGTTTATAATATTAACAGGTTCGTCCGATTCATACCACTTGCGAGGTTGCAATATACGATTCGATGAGAATTCAAGCAAGGATCCTACATTGTCGGGTTTGATAAAGTTTATTCTGTAGGCGCATTTGATTTCACTCTTTAGCGTACTGTGATTGGCGCGGAACGCTATTGGATATTCCTCATCATAATCGTTTTCAACATCTCTGGAAAGGTGTTCATCTCGCAAAATTGCGCGTTTGAGATAGTCATTTATAGCGTGCAATTCATACGATCCTTCGGGAATCGTAATTTCCTTGTCGTCGTTGCCAAAATAAAATTTATTATTCGAAAAATTTACGTTCGGAATCGTATGATAAGTTTCAAAATCTGTTAATCCGAGCTCGTAATTGGCATCGGTCAAATCTATAGTGGGGAAATAGCTTACAGCGAGAACGCTGCTTCTGCCAGTCAACGTAAGTGTCAGTGACATGTCGAACGAATACTGAGTCGTGACGATGGATTGTCAGGCTTTAAATTGATCGTTTGAAGAAATTTTAAACACTGAAGAAATTTTAAACTGTCCACAAATACTCTGATTATAACTTTGATAAGATATATAATTGTATTCAATTTTCACTCGTCCGAAATATCGCACAAGTTCCTTGGGTGGTCGAAGATTTCCAAAACTGTTGAAATATACGACACGATCACTCCTCTTTATTATCCAATGAGTACCGGGACCATCAACGTCATCCAAATTGATGATACCGCTCTCGTTTCGTCGTACACCGCTTATCGATAAATTATTGCGCATGAAAACACCTCTAAAGAAAGGTATGTGCATATGTTTCGCAAATTGTTCCAATTGCACGTTAGTTGTCGCACGTTGGTTGTCGCATCTGTAGGCATTTTTAATGTTTTTTCGACGTTTTTTTTCTCTTAGACTTTGTTGAGAATCCCTGTCCACTGCTTGTACGGAGCGAGATAAAGTCCGCGACCTTCCATAGCGATTGTGACGCTGCATCTGTTCCAGCTGATGTTGCGCCGCCTTACTTATCGTTTATCGCCATTGCAATTCCCGCCGCACCGCCGGCCAAAGAACCGACAATTCCCAACAACAGTAAAAGTGGTAAAATACCACCGTGTTTCGCTACTGGAAGTATTCGTTTTTTTCCTCTTTGCCGTCGATGGCTTTTTCATTCTCATGCCGAGTTTTGTCTTTGCCTTTATTGCCGCCCAAAGTCGTAGCGGCTGCTCTTTCACCGAAAGTCGAATCCCTCGCGGTAATGCGTTCTCGCGCTCTTGCAGCTAGTATGCGATCCGCGATATGACGTTGGTTGAGATCGTTGCTTCGCGAGTATGCTATATCGTGTTCGCGACATGCGTGCGCTGCGTCCAATGGATTGATACCTCGATAGCCTCTAGCCAATCGTTTCTCTAATCGAGTTTCCGGCCCGCAAAACTGATAACCGGGAATATAATAATTCGATGGGGAGCGCGTTTATCGCACGATTTAAGAGACCGCTACCTCTGACGATTTCTTCAGCGATTCTCGCTGACATTCGTAGCAATCTTTTATCAACGGTG